TGTAGAGGCCAAAGGTAACTTGTATTAATTTCATGATGTCTCAATAAATTTAGTATTAAAATATTTATACAAGTTTTTCTTTTCCTGAAGTGTGTATACATTTTTTATGGACTCTGTATATATATCATTTTCATACACACACACACACGCACACACACAATGTATAAATCAACAGAAGCAGCACACTGTAATTCTCCCGTGGTGGGAACTTTTCAAATAATATTTTGAGACATGTTAAAATCTGTTTCGGAAAGCTTTTATTCTGATACTGAGCAACAGAGGTGGCTGTTTAGAAAGAGGATATAAAAGTTAGTTCTGTAGAGGTTTTTGGCTTCCACGCCTGAGACTGTACTATGTTTATTGCCAAGAAGTGATGTGTGAAAAATCCCCTACTCTGGACCACATGATGGCGCTTTTAGCTCTGTCAGCATTAAAAATTCACTCCAATTTGGTCTTTTAAAAAAATCACATTTGCTTGTCAACGTTTGTCCTTCCTTCTTGCTGTCTGGCTCATAATCCAAGAAACATTGCTACTTCAGACTTTTCAGACCTACATTTAACTAAAGAGGATTTATAAATGCAAACATATGACTATCTAAATCAGCACACTACAGAGCATCAAAACTGTATGTGGTCTATTTCTGGCCACTAAATGGGTAAAAAAATTCTAACTCACAGAGAAACATATTGCATTATGACCTAAACCATTCTAGGTCAATGCTTTGTCTCTAACAGGATATCAAGAGACATTTTGTGAAAAGTACTGCTCCTCTGCATGTCTTTAAGGATATATTTCAGATATTTTTTTGGATCTTGAAGGACTAAAAAGTCTTCAAGGCCCTTCTGACTCCAAAGTCTTGATCAAAGTATGAGTACTAGAAATTATTATGAATTTGTCTAAGTTGTTCTTTAATCACTTATATATCTGTATGGATTAGATAGTAAACATACCATAGTATATAATGTCATAAATTTTAAGGGATATTACTAGGCTTTAGTATTTTTAAATCTGGAGAGTAAATTTATACTAGTGTTAATGACAATGAAAGATCAAATTCACTATTCTATTTCCAAAAAGTGTGTAAGACTAGGGTGTCCCCAAAGAGGTCAACTTCAGATTGTTCAGGATATAATCTAAAATATCCCTAACATTTTTTCATAATTTAAAAACAATCCTTTATCACCCTTCATCTTTACAGACTAAAGAATTCAAATTATTAAAGTCAGTAACTTTTTATTCTAAATTCTTAAATCAGATTAAGCCTTTGTTATAAGGTAGTATAAGTTCATCTAGTCTTACGCTGATAATTTTCATTTTTGTAAATAAGACCTTTCCTTATCTAAAAAAGTCCCACTACAGTAGCAATGACTAAAGACACAACTGACTCAGAACTGCTAAATATTAGAACTAAAAGGAACTAATAGGCTAAATGCAACTTTCTACTTTTACAAATGAGGAGACTGAGTGAGGTCTAACGCTGATAATCTCTCCTATAATAAAAACAACTAAAAACCTGAGTTACATTTAACAAAACTCTTCTTCAAACTGAAGATTAAGGGAATTGTCACCAGCATTTTACAAAATCAACAGATTAGAAAATAACACAGGTGCTTCAGCAACTTTTTTTCCAGTTATATGCATATATCAGACCATGGTGTAAAATGCATTTATGACGGTGGTCACACAGTTTAGAAGTCATTGCAATAAGTTATCTAATTTTGATTAGATTTAAAATATTACTTTTATTTAAAAATTTATTAATTATTATGGTAATATTGTTACTTAGTACAATGACTCACTAAGTTAATAAAAATATCTCTGCATTAAATACTAAATAATACCATTTAAAACAAGCCATATTTTCCCTTTAAAAAAAGACTGGTTGTGAACACTGTAGCCTTTATCATCTATGAACAGACAGACCTTCTTTTAAGGGTCACATTTCTGCAGAGATTATATGTATAACAGCTAAACAATCTTTCTCAAATAGCAAATTCTAGAATTCTGATCCTTAGCAAAAACTGAAATAAACAAAAAGCATAAACAAAACAAACAATACCCAAAGAGTCTGTGAAGAAATAGTGACCTCTAGTGGACTCATTAAATGATACTGCCATAATCCCTGTCCCTAATAATTTAGAAATTAAAGTAACACTGATACATCCAGATAGAAAAGATACTGATATGGTTATAAAACTGATGAGTATCATACAAAATTAAGGGCTATTGTTACATTATGTACAACGGGACAAATGTATATTTATAAATTATTTACTGGTTTCTTCTAATCAAGTGGAAAATGATGAATAGAACCCTGGCCTTATTCAGACTGTATCGCTAGCTTAAGAAAAACATTTAACTTTTCTAAGCTTATTTAATGAAGGCATTAGTTAAATCCAGGGATTCTTTAAGCTCTTTAATTATAATTTTTTTCTTTAATTCATCTTTTAAACCAACACCGTATGAAGTTCTGCTCAAAAATATTTACTGGTTCCCCAGTACTTGAGAATATGCCAAACTCAGGCTGGGCTCTTGTTAGTTGGTTATTTTTTTTCCCTCAATATACAGAAATTTCCTGAAATCTATGAGAGACACATTACAAGATCCCCCCGCCCCAGGGGATGCCTGAAACTGTGGGTAGTATCAAACCCTATACTATATAATATGTATTTTTGTTTTTTTTTTTAATAGTAAGTGACTAACAGGTAAGTAGTGTATATAGTGTGGATACATTTGAAAAAGGAACGATTCATAGTCTGGTCAGGAGAGAGCCAGATGGTATGAGATTTTTATCACTTAGAATGGTGTGAAATTTAAAACTTATGAAGTTTTATTTCTGAAAATTTCCATCTAGTATTTTCAGACTGCAGTTGACTGTGGGTAACTGAAACAACAGCAAGTGAAACCATGGCCAATGGGGGACTACTGTGTACTTATTTTAATTTTTCTCACTTTTGTTCATCATTTCTCATTAAACAATCTCCTAATCTTACTAACTTATGTTACATGTACCATTAGAGTTGGTAAAAAATTGTTCTGCCATCAATCACTGCTAAACTCATGGGGTTTTTTTGTTTGTTTTGGTTTTTTTGAGACAGGATCTCACTACGTAGTTCAGGCTGTCCTTGAGCTCACAACAATGCTACTATCTCAGCCTCCGGAGTGCTGGGATTACAGGTGTGCACCACCACGCATGGAAATAGGTTGGTTTTTATACATTTGGGGGTGTGTGCGTGCAGGGATGCATACATATGTGCAGCGCCTGCCAGGAACTAAGGACATAATGCACACTTTGGATGTAAATTATTAGATTATGCAAACATAGGCCATTTTAATCTTTTTTAGTGAGGTAGGGAAGGATACAAATAAGTTAGAATTCTAAGAACAACAAAAAAGTGACAGGGTTTTAATTTTTGGGGAAAAGTAGGCATTCTAAACATAATATGGTAAGATATTAGGAAAAGGTTAAAGGTAAAAACTTAGCTAAAGGAAGTACCAATAGCTATGTTTGAAGTAAGTAGAGAGGGCAGGAAAGGAGGTTTGGTAAATGGTTTTGGGCCACATATAAGGATGACACAGTGGGTTAAATTTAACAAGCACAGGAGGTATCTCTGGAGACCAAGTTAATAATTTAAGAAAAACTGGTCTTGGTGGGGAATGGAATATATCACTATTGTAAGGCTGAGGCTGTAATGGGCATCTGGTAAAATACTAAAGCATGAGAAAAAGAGTGAAAAGTAAAAGAAGAGCATAGTTTCCCAGTTACTTTGGACAATACAACAATCTTACAACCTCCAGATAAGAAAGTTGACACTAATTTGTGCAGTAATGAACAATTTAGTTTTTATTATGTTCAATTCAATTAAGGCCACAGGTGAGTTTTACATATTTGAAACCACACAGGATTGGACTGACAAAGATGTCTGCCATCAAAGGTTCTGTCACTGGGGCCGGGGATTTAGCTCAGTGGTTCTGCTGCCTGCCTTGCAAGCGCAAGGTCCCGAGTTCAATCCCCAGTACCAAAGAAAAAGGTTCTGTCATCAGCACAGTTCAACTGATGCTAGTTGAATTTAGGGGTGTCATATAATCTGCATCAGATAAGATTTCAAAGGTTTTTTTGAGGCAAAGCTCTATAGTTAATTGCATCTCATTACATTTTAGTCATTTAGTTAGTATAGATCTTCACTATATTCCCATTACTGCCTTGTGTTATTATAATACTATTTCAAATATGAATTATATGGGACATTATTTAACCTCATTAAGCCTTTGGACTTTCTAGACAATAGTTAAATTACCATAATAATTTCTGCTACCTTTGTTATAGAATCATGCCATTTCATTCTCAATAAAGATTTTTTCCAAATTCAGCACCTATGTAGAATACTGCAGGTATTTAAATATTTCCCAGGAGGCAAAACCTCTGCAATGACCATAAACTGTTTTTGTAAAACAATAACACTTTTTAAATTTGGCTTTATTTGAATTTATAAAAACATTGTGCTAATTTTAATAAAGATTAAAGTAGTAAAACTTTTTAACTTTGGTACAAAGTTTCCTAACAAAGTGAGTTCAAATGGAATCCAAGACCTAGTATCTTCTGAAAAAGTTTAATATTAACTCAGGATGATTAGATTATCAACATTCATAGAAGTCAAAATTAAAGCTCCAGTCTGGTGATTAAAGCTAAAACAGTAAACAATATTTATATGTATGAATTTTCTGATTTTAAGTTTAAAATCCTTAATAACTATTCTTTTTTTTTTTTGGTACCGGGGATCAAACTTGGGACCTTGCACTTGCAAGGCAGGTGGCGGCACCACTGAGCTAAATCCACGGCCCCTTAATAACTATTCTTAAAATAAAACCATTTCCCCCAAAAGTGTGTAAAAAGTAACACTCTACTGAAAAGTAGACCCTATTCTCAGGCTACCTGAAAAAGCAGAAAGAAATTATTAGAATATATGAACAAATGTATATGAATAATTATTTAAATTACCTGTCTTCTTCTCGAACCCATACTGGAGTTTTGGGAATCTGTGCTTCAAAAAACTTAGATGCTTTGTAACAAAAACTGCTGCAAAAAGACTGAAGAGGACACGTTAAAATTATTTTTTCTTGTTATGAAACATAACTTATATACAGAAGAGAGTATAAAAACACAAACATGTAGTTGAAAGAAAACAAAAACTCATGAATCTTCTACTACCTATGGCCAGAAATAAGGTACAGTACCTTTGAAGACTTTCATGTGCTCCTCCCTAACAGTACAGCCCTCCAAATTTCCCAGAGGTAAGCACTACCATGAATTTGCTGTTAATCATTTCCTTGCTTTTCTTTGGCTTTACCACCTACTATATATTCCTATAAAACATCATTCAGTTTTGCCCATTTTCCAACTTTATCTAAATGGAATAACATTATTAGGTATTCCTGTCTTTTGTTCAAAATCATGTTTTTAAAATTCACAGTTATTCACATAGCTTATTCATTTTCACTGTATATTACATTCCATTGTATTAGTATATTACACTTTATTATTTATGGACAATTGAGTTGTTTCCAGTTTTTTGCTATAACTTCAGTATTACTTATGAACTTTTTAATGATTATTAAAATTTTGGTAAAATATGCATAATATGAAATTTGCCACCTGAGCCATTTATAATTATTCAGTGACATTTTCTTTCTATTGCATCACCACTAGCATTTATTTTTAGAAGTCTCTGCACCTTACAGAACTGAACACTATACTTGTTAAACAAGAACTCTGCATTTCCAATTCATTGACAAGCACCATTCTGTTTCCTGTCTATAAATTTTATTACAGTAGGCATTTAAGTGGGATTAAATAATATTTGTCCTTTTGTCCTGGCTTATTTCATTTAGTGCAATGTCTTATAGGTTCATCCATATTGTAATGTGTGTCACACTTTCCTTCCTTTTAAGACTGAATGATATTTCAATGTATGCATATACTACATTGGCTAATCCAGCTATGAACATTCTTACATGTCTGGATACATATTATTGGTAGTGTACACAGGCAAGGAATTTTTTCAGTTTCTATAAGGTATATACAAAGAAACAGAAAGGCATGCTCATAAAGAATGTGCAAAGTTTCTGGGGATGTAGCTCAGTGGAAGAACACTCGCCTAGCATGCTTAAGGCCCTGGGTTCAACCTCCAGCACCACAAAAAAAAAAAAAAAAAAAAGTACTTAATATTGTCATATTAGTCATCCAAATTAATTATATAAAAGTTTCCTATTAATTTGTCTCTTTATTATATACTCTCAATATAGATCTATGGTCAATTATAGGTGGGAAATATAACTTCTTACCTCTGGCTTATCTTTTCACTTTTTGGAAACCTCTAATAAATAAAAGTTTTAAATTATAATGTTGAAAATTTATCAGATTTTCTTCCATGGTTTATAATTTTCTATCTTTTTTGTTGTTGTTTTTTGGTTTTTTTGGTACCGGGGATTGAACTTGGGACCTTGGGCTTGCGAAGCAGGCAGCGGAACCACTGAGCTAAATCCCCGGCTATAATTTTCTATCTTAAGAAATCCTTCTCTAAGTTTATAATCGTCCATATTATTTTCAAAAAAGGTCTGACTTTTACATTTAGTTCTTTAATCTACCTGCTTTGACTATGTAGTGAGATTGGGGTCATTTTCATTTTTTCCATCTGGATCTAACTGTGCCAGGATTGCTGAAAAGCCCTTCCTTTCCCCACTGACCTTACAACACTTCCACTGTCATGTATTAAATGTATCCACATATGTGGTGACTCTGTTACTGGATCTTGTTTTATGATTTAGTGCCAACAGGCACTTTAAATTTTTAAATATTCAAGTTTTAATTAAAGCTTAAGCAAGGAATTATTTTTAGTACTACTCTGAAGTCCTTATAAATAAGAACAAATTTTTAACATGGTTCTTTTCTAACAGGCAAGTTTTATTTTGAATTCTATTTAATATCATATTAAAAATTAACTGCCACATTGAGGGTAGACTTTGAACTTACCTTTCTTTCAGTAATATCATAAACTTTATTGGTTTTGGTAGAAATTTTATATTTCTGTTTTGGTACCTAAAGAAAAGAGAGTTTAGCTTACAAAAGAATCTCAGTAGTAACCATGAATTTAGACTCCATCATATTTTGGCCAACCCACGTCATTAATGACCTCACATTTTATTTCCTGATCCTTCTACAAAGTATTTTGCTCAATTAAAAAAAGCCTACATTTTTAAAAAGTAGTACTTACGATGCCCAGTTTTTTCTGACACAAAGGATAGCCACAGAATTTGATAATTGAACGTTCAACCACAACATCACTATAGTGAGCAGGGGTGATGAACTTCCCCTATAATGAAATCAGAAGGGCATTTACTCTCAGATTAATGGAAAGGGTCATTTATTAGCGCTTTAATCCTTATGAATCTCATCTGAAAATACAGGGACAATAATAGTACTTACCTCACTGGGCATGGTGGCACACACCTGTAATCCCAGCCTTTGGGAGGCAGAGGCAGGAGGACTTCTGCAAGTTCAAGGTCAGCCTGGATTACACAGCCAGTTCAAGGCCTACTCTGAACTACATAGTGAGATCCTGTCTCAAAAAAATAAGTGCCTACCCAAGTCTGAAGTGAAAATTAGAGAAAATAAAGGAAAAGTATTTAAAGACATGTTTGACATATAGTAAACACTACAAAAATGATTATTATTTTAAAAAACTGTCACTGCAGATTGGTGATCTTTGTATATTACACAGTTGAAATAAATCTGGGGCAGCAGGAAGAAGTGGTGTTATAAATATTTCAAAACTAAATGATGACAGTATCTTTTTTAAACAAGTACTATGCAAAAAAATCATCTAAACCACATAAAGTAATAAAACAGAATTTTATCTATTTTTAGAGCATAATTAAAAAAAAACAACAAAGCATATGAATGTGCTATGATGACTCCTGAACAAAATTTTGTGCAAAAATCTTCCTGGTGTTTTAAAACAATTGTAGAGAATAATATGAAGGTGATAAACTAATACCAAATATTTTAGTTTGACATCTTCATGTTTAAATAATCTCAATTCTTATTTCGTAACTTTGAAATCTTTTTGAACAAGGTATTTTTCTGCTTTTATAGGGATTGAAGTACTCTATTGAGAATGAAAAAGTTTTGTGTTTCAAATTAAACATTTCCAGTTTGTCTGTTTTCCTTAATATTACATATACATAGATGCTGATGTAGTTATCTACCAACTTAAACATATTCTTCTTGCTTAGTAAAGTCTCTGAACCATATTAGTTTTGCAATAAAAGGTGTTTTAATTTTTTTCTCTTAAGGATTGTAAGTATAAAAAAATTCTGCCATTCATTCAAAATTTTAAAGCTTTTTAAGAAAACAAAAATTAATTATAATTTTGTTCTGAGTTAAGTCAAAGTACATTTCAAGTATTTAAAATATCCAAATTAATGAAATAACATTAAGAAAAATCTGTTACTTAAAATAGCACAAAAACCAGATGATTAGAAAACTGACAATTGTGATTACTATTACAAAGGGAAGAAAATCAAGTGAAATAGCAGACTAAAAAGAACTACAACTAGAAATAAAATGTACATTTTTTTACTTTTTTATGTTAAAAATTTATTTTGATTCACAATTGTACATATTAATGGGGTACCATACGTTTTGATACATATATACAGTGTGGAATGAGAAAATCAGATTATAACGGACGTGCATTGCCTCACATACTTCCTTTCTAAAGGAAAATTATTTAAGTATTTAATTTTTTAAAAGTATTAAATTTTATTTAAAATTCACTCTCAGTAATTTTTTTTTTATTTGTTTTTGGTACCAAAGATGGAACTCGGGACCTTGTGCTTGTGAAGCAGGTGGTGGCACCACTGAACTAAATCCCTGGCCTTACTCTCAGTAATTTTAACATATACATTACTTTTAATGATAGTCATTTTGTGTACTTATTATCTTTTATTAATGCATTTTAAAATCATTGTACAAGTGGGCCAGGGATTTAGCTCAGTGGTTTCGCCACCTGCTGCGCAAGCGCAAGGACCCGAGTTCCATCCCTGGTACCAAAAAAAAAAAAAAAATCATTGTACAAGTAATATAATATACTAGTTGCCTATTTTAAAATGCATGATTTAAAACCAGTGCACATCTGAGTCTGAGGCAGAAGATCACCATGAGTTAGAGGCCAGCCTGGACTATATAGTGAGTTCAAGGCCAGCCTGAACTACATAGCGAGACCAGGAAAAATCCATAATTTATTCAGCATGTACTGACATCTAATGACTGAAAACAAATTTAAGACTTCAATAATACAAAGAGGTCTCGTTTTGCAGAGATTTAAAGATGTTATACTATAAAACTAATATGTCAATACATACACATTCCATTAAGAAGTCTTCTGTGATATTCTCTTCTAACAGTTGTTCAACAAAATGTAGAGCTTTTCTTTCACACTCAATCTTCTTTTTCACAGATGCTTCTAGTTCTGCTTTCCTAAAATTTTAATAAAAAGTTAATGTATTTACTATATAAATTTTGTCTCCAACATTCCATGTTTTAAAATACAACAATAACCTAACTATCTTGTCATTTAAGTTTATAGTTTTTTGGGGTTTTTTGGTACCGGGGATTGAACTCGGGACCTTGCCTTTGTGAGGCAGGCGCGGGCACAACTGAGCTAAATCCCTGGCCTAAGTTTATAGTTTTTAATGCTGTTACTTTTTTTTTGGTAACTGGGATTGAACTCAGGACCTTGCACTTGCGAGGCAGGCGGAGGCAGGCCGTGGCACCACTGAGCTAAATGCCCATCCCTAATGCTGTTACATTTGATCCAATACTTTTCAAAACAAAACAAAAAAAGCTACTTTTTGCACTATATACAGTGAAGTTGGCCAGGAGGATTATTTCCAGGTTTAATACCAGGAAGCATTTACAAACTCCCACAGGCAAGAAAATGAGGTGAAGGGCTGGGGATTTAGCTCAGTGGCAACGAGCCTGCCTCGCAAGTGCAAGGTCCTGAGTTCGATCTCTGATACTGGAAAGAAAAAAATATATATATTGCTACCCAAAAAACATT